GTAGAAAAGAGAGCCTTGACGTCCTTTTCAGGGACACCACCAAGTCACTGGTTCAGGTATGTTGACGACACCTGGGTTAAAATTAAATCTCAGAAAGTCCAACATTTTACTGATCACATCAACTCTGTGGATAAATACATCAAGTTCACACGAGAAGATGAAAAAAATGGCAAGTTGGCTTTCTTGGACTGTGAGGTCTCAGTCTCTGATAGAGGACATTTGCAAACTGAGGTGTACCGCAAACCCACACACACAGACCAGTATTTGCAGTTTGACTCCCATCACCCTTTGGAGCACAAGTTAGGAGTCATCAGGACTCTGTATCACAGAGCAGACAGCATCCCCACTAGCTCAGGAGCCAGGCAGAAGGAGAAATCCTACACAAGACAGGCTCTAGAGCAATGTGGATATCCTAACTGGGCCTTCCTAAAAGCAGAGAAGAAACCCAAACAGGACTCCAGTCAGCCATCAGGTGAAAAGGAGGAACCCAGACCCAGACCAGTGGTCATTCCATATGTTGAGGGAGTATCAGAGAAACTGAGACGTTTATTTTCTAAACATAACGTCCCAGTGGCTTTTAAACCCCAAAATACATTACGGCAAAGACTGGTTCATCCCTAAAAAAAAAAAAACCGACACAAACAGAGTAATATTGTGTATGCTGTTCAGTGTCAGGAGGGCTGTGATCAGTCTTACATCGGGGAAACAAAACAGCCACTGGCCAAAAGGATGGCCCAGCACAGAAGATCAACATCATCAGACCAGGATTCTGTGGTCTACACTCATCTCCAGGCCAGCGGTCACTCTTTCAAGGATGAAGATGTTCACATCCTGGACAGAGAGGAACGATGGTTTGAGAGAGGAGTAAAGGAGGCCATCTTTGTGAAAAGAAATCGTCCATCATTAAACAGGGGTGGAGGCCTCCGGGTTCAACTGTCCCCCTCTTACAATGCTGTGATTGCTAGTATCACTCAGCCCTCTGTGAATAGTAAACAGCCATCAGTGTGCTAATGATCCATTGTTAGGCTGATGGTCCTTCTTGAGCATGTGATCAGCTGGTTTTGGTTGTCAGCAGCAAACTGGTTGATCCACTCTGAGAAGGTGCTATTTAAGAGACTGAGCTGAATACAGCACCTCAGACTGAGGAAGTCTCTCGGATGAGAGACGAAACGTTTCTACATTTTTTGCTTTGTTTTGTTTTTTGTTTTTTTGAATGTCTAGAGGACCAGATTGAACTTTTTTGGATTTTTCTACCTGGATTATTGAGCATGCATCAGGATAAAATGTGATATTATTTCTAAAATGTACTTTTTTTAAGTTGTTTATTTTAACAACTTTATTGTAATTGCCAGGAGGGAGGGCTTAGCCCTCCTAGCCCATTGATACCAGGCGTCACTGAGTATCAGCATTAGTAATATATTGTTTTAATATGCATTAGTCTAAAAACATTTTAGCTAATTTTAGTCTGTAAAGTATGCAGTTGTACAAAAGCTCAGTTCTTCATGTCTAAATACTGAAGTGCATATTATACAAGGCCTAAATGTTTGCAGAATCTTGGAGTTAAATTCAACGTTACAAATTTAAGTTACTGGACTTAATACATATAACTACAGGTAGAAGAGCTCTGGACACACTAACAGCAAACTCTTGTCTTTGGTTTTCACAATAAGCATGGTATACGATATGTTCAAGTAAATAAATAAGAAATAAAAGCCTTTTTGGACTGATGACACAACACACAAGATGTTAATCTGTGGCCTTGTAAAACACTTTACACTTCTTTGTTCAAAGGAGAGTAATGTAGATGTTGTTGTTGTTGTCATTTTTAACTCGGTGTGTTTTTATTTGTGTACAATTTTTTTTTTTTCTTCAGTCTAGACAGAGAGCAGAGTGCTCAAACTCTCTTGGCTCATAAAGTATCTGAGCTCACACATTATTGTTTTTTAACTTGTCACATGTCCAACATATAACCGTGTAGACATACATACAGTACATTTATTACATACATGCATGTATTTATGGGACACTTTAGGTTCAGTATTATTTGTAGGAGTTTTTATTTTCACATGATCACAGTTTGAGGCTTAATTTCTACTCTGGAGTTGTTCTGCCTGCTTTAATAAGAGTGCTGTCGGGGAGCAAGAGCCACGTGTGTGTGTGTACCCAATGAGCCACTGGCAGCAGCTTCGACATTTATTTTGATCTTGGTTAATTGAAGACTTCTTATACAATAACAAATCAAAACAATGATGATTTATAAGCTTAGGAAACCACAAAAGGAAGTGGTAAATTATTTTGTGGATTTATTCACGAGAGTTGGAATTTAGAGAAATGGCTGCATGCTTCAACAGTTCTTTCAAAATGTTCTAGTTAATATCTGGACAGTTTGACCACAACTGGTCTTGTTGTGCAGAGATTTTAATGAGTACTCTAATCTGGACTCACCCCATAATAGCAGGCACAGTCCCATCAGGCTTTGTGTCGTCCAGAGTCAGGCCTATCGGAGCCCCCTCCTCCTCGATCACCATACTGCCGCAGTAACCTGATGGCAAAAGAACAAACAATAAAACCAAACCAGGCTGCCATCTCCTCCGGAGCACCCTTTGCTTCCCGCATACCTTTTTTCCTCCAGAAATTCTCGCTGTAGTACACCATGCATTTGATGACGCAGCCCATGGGGACACGGTGGATCAGCTGGTTCCTGAGGGGGGGCAGTTCTGGGTTAAAGTGCATCTTCAGGTTCAGACCAGGGGGGGTGGCCACGATTACATACTTGGCCTAAAGCAAAAACAAAAACAGGAATTTAATTTTTTAAGATAATTTGACAGGAAGTTACACAGTGACCAGTAGGTGTCAGCAAAATACTATTTCTCCATTCCAGCAGTACCATGTTTAGATATAATGTACTGTACTTATTTAGTTTAGTTGAAACAATATATAAGTTATGTCCCTGTTACACAATAGGAGACATCATACCAAATTTCTTTTGTGTTTTCTTTTAATTTTTTGTAACTTTCTCCTTTATAGAAGTG